ACAGCAGAAGAGTGGGTGAGGGGAGACAGCAGACAGGGCAAGATATGACAAAATAATAATTTTAAAAAATGTGTGTCTATATATATGTATATATATATTAAATTTTAAGTGCTATGAAAACAACGTTTTCCTTTATTAACTTATTGAAAGACAAACTCACATCCAATACAGAGCCAGAGCATCCTTCAGGCCAAAGCAAATGTACGTGCACTTTTCACGGCCCTGGTGTGAACAAAGCTGATGCGACAGATTACCAACAATTCTCTGGCACACATGTGGTGTCCTTATTTACTTTCAAAGTTAGATGGGCATTAATTTCCTTCGGTAAGTGTACACACATACACACAGCAAACACCTTGAGAAATAACCCCATGCGAAACACCCTAGCTTTCTGTATTAAAAAAGTAACCCTGACTGAATGCCAGTCGAGATCACCAGGTCACTTAATTGGAGTCACACCATTAATTACTAATCTAGAACTGACTGGAAAGCATATACTCCCCACGACACACATATGCCTGTCATACACACAGTCTCACAAGCCCAGGGAAAGATTCTCTATATCCAATACAGCATGGATACTTCAAATAATACTTTTTTAAAAAGATGTATGGAATCTCCATTCAAGGGAAATAAACATCAGGATAGAGTAGTAATCACCACAGCAGATTTAGAGAATAAGATACAATTAAATGTAATATTTTAAATGACCAGCCATGCCCAAACTAATAAGGAGTTGATCCTGGGTCAGAGCCCCCTTAGAGGACAGAGCGCAGCTACCCCAAAGAGTGTCCAAGGTTGCTCCATCCTTCCCTCAGGCGGAACAATGTGGCGAGCAGCTGCCCACCTGGGTTCCTTAGGAGGATATAAGATGATATTACTATTTCTCCCTGTCAGCTCTATCGACAAATTTTCTAAGCTGTTTTAGAAGCAGAGGGGTATTACAGCGTTTTAATGATTTGTTGTTAGTAAAGTTTACAGAGCAGACCACGCATCTCACAGTCAACAGTTCACACACATTTGGTTGCACCTCATTCCCTGCAATTCCTCAACAGAAAATGGCTCATCCCACTTCCATCCATTGTCCTTGCTGCATCCCT